CATAGTATTCTCTCTTCTATCTGTCAAATAAATGACGTGTGAAAACTACTTTGAAATAAAGAGTTTTGGTGTGGTCACAGGTGGTGATTTAAACAGTTATTTAAATAAAATAAAAGAATTGTGATTGTGATGATATTGATGATTATGATTACCTTGGTTATATAAGGATTGTGGTGTGTTAATAAAAGTGCATGTGTTTGTATATTATGTGTAATTGACATATTGTACTCTGGACGTGGTTTACTCATATGAGCTTTAGAAAGCTTACCGGGTTGTTCTGTGGTGAACTCGGTGCACTATTCAATGGTGTAGGGGAAAATCTTGCAGGTGGTAGAGACCGTGAGCAGGAGATTTAAGGTGAGGAGCAGGAGGCTCGTTGGTGGTTCCACAGAGTGTAAAGTGTGGTGTGAGAGTGTTGGTGAGTGTTAGACTTCCGCTGTGTGAAATGAACTCTGAGGAGCAGATTTTGTAATATAATGATTGTTCATTTATTATGTGAGTTTGTAATGTAATATTTGACTCAGAAGAGTTGAGTCATTATTGACATTGTGGTTCGGAACAGTGGTGTTGTATCAAGAAAGAAAAGTTTAAATTTCTAGGTACTTTTGTTGAAGGTTCCGAGCTTCGCGTCCCGGATCGTTGGTTGTTCTGTTTAATTTTGCAGATTATTTGTTGTTGAAAATTCGGGGCGTGACAGTTTGGTATCAGATACCTTGGTTATACAAGGATTGTGGTGTGCTAATGAAAGTGCATGTGTTTGTATATTATGTGAAATTGACATATTATACTGTGGACGTGGTTTACTCATACGAGCTTTAGAAAGCTTACCGGGTTGTTCTGTGGTGAACCCGGTGCACTATTCAATGGTGTAGGGGAAAATCCTGCAGGTGGTAGAGACCGTGAGCAGGAGATTTAAGGTGAGGAGCAGGAGGCTCGTTGGTGGTTCCACAGAGTGTAAAGTGTGGTGTGAGAGTGTTGGTGAGTGTTAGACTTCCGCTGTGTGAAATGAACTCTGAGGAGCAGATTTTGTAATATAATGATTGTTCATTTATTATGTGAGTTTGTAATGTAATATTTGACTTAGAAGAGTTGAGTCATTATTGACATTGTGGTTCGGAACAGTGGTGTTGTATCAAGAAAGAAAAGTTTAAATTTCTAGGTACTTTTGTTGAAGGTTCCGAGCTTCGCGTCCCGGATTGTTGGTTGTTCTGTTTAAATTTGCAGATTATTTGTTGTTGAAAATTCGGGGCGTGACAGTTTGGTGTTGGTGTTTTGGTGTTGATGGATTTAGGTGAGAATACCTTGAATCCCTTCTGAGTTTGTCAGGTGGGCATTCTCGTGGCAAATAATCAGGGATAAATTACCCTATGGAGCAAGACCCAAGAACAGTTAGAGCTCTAGTCTGGCGCTATCTAGTACTCATGACTGGAATATAATCATGAGTGAACACTACTTTGGTGTTTTGTAGTGTTATAGATTAGAGGTTCATAGCAAAAAAGCCTATCAAGAATTTGGCGCCGTTGCCGGGTTGAGGCCACGAGCCTTAGCAAGAATATGTAGTTTCTATCCAATTTTCTTATGATTATATGCATGCAGGTTTTCGAATTATACATCACTGGGAGTCAAACAATAAGGTAGAATATTTTCAGATCTATTTCATTCTCCGAAAGGAGGTATTTATAATACAGGTTACAAACCCTAGTAGGGTTTAATTAGGAAATAAGTGGAATCTTAATTACATAATATCTACACAAAGGAAAAAATAAATAAAACCCAAATAGAATAGGACTCGCCAACACTCCCCCTCAAGTTGGAGCAAAGACGTCACGCATGCCCAACTTGTCAAGCGAGTTGAGAAAGATACTTGTAGAAACAGCTTTCGTAAGAACATCAGCTAACTGATACTCTGAACGGATGAAGGGGAAGGACACAATCTCCGCATCCAACTTTTCCTTAATAAAATTTCGATCAACCTCCACATGCTTTGTACGGTCATGTTGTACAGGATTATGAGCAATTGCAATCGCAGCCGTATTGTCACAATATAACACCATGGGTTTATTAGGCCCAAACCCAAGGTCTTTCAACAATCTTCTCAACCATAGTAACTCAGATACACCATGGGCCATTCCCCGATACTCGGCCTCAGCACTAGATCTAGACACCACCTTTTGTTTCTTGCTCCTCCACGTAACAAGATTGCCACCCACAAACATAAAATACCCAGATGTCGAACGCCTATATGTGGCTGAACCTGCCCAATCAGCATCTGTATACCCTTCTACATTCGTATGGCCATACTTGGAGAAAATTAACCCCTTGCCAGGAGTTACTTTCAGA